TAGAAAGGTCCATTGTTGGCCAGCTGACTAGGCCACAACACAAGTCATTGAAAAACACACAACTTACACTCAAAGCTCACAGGTGATTTTACACACTTTTTATAACCACTTTTTATAATTACTGACATTTATATATATATTTTTTTCATTCTATTTTGGATCTTCACCTCCAAAGAAACCTAACTTACAACAACAGTTTAGGTTATTTTAAAGTAATTATATAACTACTTTTCATAATTCCTAACATAATTAAGAAAAAAAATAGTAGAGATAGAGCGGCCAAACTTGGAAAAAGCTACTGAGCATGAAACATCTTTTACCCATAATGTTCAGTGTTACACTATGTTCTCAGACGAATAGCCCGCTGGGACTCAGAAGGAAATATTAAACCTAATCATAAGTTGATTTGATATGTTTATAAAAATTAAGATTAGAATATCGATCGAATCTGATCATAGTCGTAATATCTTTAAGTGTTGCCGACTTATTTTTCAAGAGTACACGGATTACGTGCATAATAAAAGCACGCTGCTTTGTGTTGTTTGGTTGGAATACTGGTCTCCACCAAAGTAAAAACTGTGCACCAAAGTAAGTCTGTCTGTACTATAATCTGTGCAAGGAAGCCCACTTTGTTGGGTGACTGTAGGAAAATATGTATTGAATTTTTAATATGGGACGGTAACTATAAGTCAGAAAAACATCTTTAGAGTGGCCATAAGTTGATATGCACATCAAATTAAGGGCCTTTATGAGTATAATTCAAGAACTCAAACGAAACCCCGATTAGAAATGACAGCCGTTGAAAGCCATCTTGAATATTAGAACTTTGATGATAACAACGTGTTGTAATAAATTTCAAGTTCAAGAAATCTTTGAACAGCAGCCATTTTTTACTTGAACGGCTGCCAGAAAGCGTTGTTCATACTCCCTGGCGAAGTACAACAACACAACGATGATTTCACAGCCTCATTGTTAATTATATGTTTAATTGTAATTTCGTAAAATATAGTATCTGTAGTCAATTGTTTTTATTTTTTTAATAAAACCATCGATTCATAATGAGATAAAAGCTGAAGAATCGACAATAAGGTAATAAGTTTACAAATGCTAACCCCATAATAGTTTTCAGCTGTTTAAAGATACGATTTTGCTAATTGAGACGAAATAAATTATTAACTTTGTAAGTGAAATAAAATGCTATATTAATGTTAGATTTTATGATTGAGTAGAAACAAAGCTGTCATGCTTTGTATTGCTTTGTTGTCATGTATTGTCGATTAACGAATAAAAATTAATTTTGTCACATTACACACCAACAATCGTTACGCCTTAAAACTTATTAACATAGTTTTAACCAACTATCCTTTATAATTGTCAGTTATAAGTCAATTTAATAGATAAATTAGGAGACATAAATTCATTAGGCTGATTATCAGTTAATTTAACATATGGTAACTTATTAATAAAGGAAAGATTTTTTTTTAATGTTCAACGAATTCGATTTACATCTATCTATGTTTTTTAAGTAAGGTAAAGAGGATTTTAACAATTGTTTAAAACTTCACGGACTTTACCGCATCTTTCCTTGATTAAGGTAAGATGTTTCTAATGACGTGTTTGTGTTCAAAATGGACTTTTTCTTTTTTTAAGTTGCACCAACCGTCAAATTTAGTCAAATTGATAGTCCCAACCAGGGAACGGTTTAGAGAAAGGTTTTTTGATGTCCACAGTCCCGCAAACTCGTAGTTGTTAAGATGAAATGCTGTACAGACATACAAGCGACACCTGGCTCAATTTCAAATTGGTTTGTTATGGTGGGGGTATTTTGTAAAACATACTTTTAATGTACACATCACATGCATTTTAACATTTGTGTAGTTTTAAGTTGCTGATTACTCATGAAGAATATCGTTGCTTTATGAATGAGAAACGGGATTTCAAAAAAATCTAAATTCAGTCGAAAAAATGTTTTTGTCAGCAATATTTGACACAACATTTTTAAATATTAATACCGATCTTAAACAACTTCAAGAGTTAGCTCAAAACTCAATTATATAAGCTTCTATCTGGTTTGAATCTAATGGCTTCCTCTTAAATAAAGATAAAACTCAAAAAATTGTTTTTCGCCTTAGACCGTGTGAATTAAAAATATGTTTGATGGCTATGTAGACAACGTGAAATTTCTTGGTATTTATCTGAATAAGACTCTTTCCTGGGGACCTCATATTGATTACATAATTTCTAAGCTTTTAAGGGTAATTTGTCTTATGACTAAACCAATACATTGTATAGATCAAAATTATATTAAAACAGCCTACTTTGCTTATTTTTAATCCATTTCTAGATACAATATTATATTTTACGGCAATTACTGTATTTGATGACTTTGTCAATGCTAACTGTTTTACGACAATAAAAGAATTTATAGTCTTACAAAAGAAGTTGGTTAGAATTATGTCATATGAACCCCAACAGGAACACTGTAAACCCCTGTTCATTCAGCTACAAATTTCAACAGTGATTAACATTTATTTATTTGACTCTGTATCATACGTTCTAAAAAATCCCAACTTAATCAAAAAAATATCTCATGTTCATAATAGAAGGAATAAAAGCGTTAATACCATAGATTTTTTCAGACTGTCTAAAACTCTTAAAAGCCATATTGTAATCTCACTAAAAATATACAACAAGCTAATACATTTAATACGAAAATATCCTGAAAACACTTTTAAAACAAAATTCTACAGATGGCTTTTGAACAACCCATTCTATTCTCTAAATGAATTTTTTGAAATGTCTGGTATTAATTTTTAAGTAGAGTTAGTGAATTGACCAAATTACTGTTGGATTTTGTTGGTTATGCGGATTAATCACTTCCATTATTTTCAAAGCCGCAAATTTTTCTTAAGAACAAGATTACCTATTCAATTGTAATATTTAAAATGTGTATTGTAAAATGTCTCATTTTATGTAGTTAGTTGTATTGTATCTTACTGTATTTATTAACTGACTATGCTATAAACCTTAGCAGTTGTATGACTTTGTCAATAATTTGTGAAAATTCTAAGGACAATAAACACTTTTCATTTTATTTCACATTTCATTGTATTTCAAATTAATTCAAAAATATAAAATTGTTGTCCCAAATACTTAATTTTATTTAATTGCATTGACATTTTTCTTTGATGAGAACGGACACATATTTGGTTAAATAATTAAAATGAAATATCCATATTACGTAATAATTTATACTTTGATTTTAATTCAAACACAAAGCTCTTTTAGGTATTGTTTGTTCAGTATTAGGGTAAAATAACACCTAAGCTTATCACTTTTCAATTTTTTTAAATTTTTTTTAATTGTAATACTCACATAAAGTAGGCCCTAGACATAAAACTTAATGTGTGGTTACATTACTTATCCATACAGTGTACAGTACTTTCAACAAGTGGTTCCAATCACGTTTTAGAAGCACAATCTTCTTACCTGTTCAAAACAATTGGTAACTATATTTATATTGCCCCACATACATTCTTTATATAATTCATATTTTTTAAACCTATATTTACAATGATACATTTTATTGACAACTTTGGTAAATCCACCTCACATTAGCATTATATACATATATATTTATGAGTAATGAACACCAATTGGTTGGATTTCAATCAGTTTCTATTATATTCATAAATGTATTATACGTATAAGAGTCCGCTACGAACTATCCAATCCTTCTAGCATTAGTTTCTTTTATTTTAGCTTTCATTTGCTTAGCTGAGTGCAATATTTTACTTCACTACAGTCCGTGTGAATCTTAATGTATAAAATGACAATGGATAAATTAAAATCCCCAACGCAAATCTTAGGGTTTTACTCATAAAATGATTTAGTTAGAAAATATGTAATGTTCAAACTTTAAAAGTTATTGAAATTGATATGCGTATATACTCTGTCGAAATTTGAGCATCGACTTAACATTTTTTACTATTATAAACATATTAGTTTGAAGTTTTTTTAAAGGTGTGTGTTTTATTGGCAGAAGACATTTTAGTTAGCAAAACAAAACAACAAGTGATATTAAAGTGTTTTTGTTCTGAACCGTAATTTTGATGGACCAAGGATTCTTCAAACAACGTGTGCACGAATACCACTAATTTATTGAAAGAAGGAAATCAAACAGCAAGTGTCCAATACCTTTTCCAAAGCTAAATATTCTTAAAGAAGTCACAAACTTGGTTTAAATATACTAGGCATACACACTATACTACAGAAAAGATCCAACAACTATGTAATTTATTTACCTTTAAGAAATTCAAAAAAAGACAATTGGAATACAAAAATTAAAATACGTGCATTTGGATTGATCAAAATTATATTGGCATTAGCAGATTTTTAGATTTAATTGTGTTTTCCCGAAAATATTTTGTGTAATTATTAATATTTTAATACACTTACGTGTGCTTAAGTTTTTGAAGCCATTTATAGTTCTAAATACAGCTGAATTACTGTACAGTTAACATACTATCGAGACGCTGTTAACCTAAACCACCCCAGCACTTGCGATCATAAGCTTCAATAGCTTAAATGCAATTTCGATTCTAAATTTGTTTTAGATGATCTATTATTCTTCATGTTTAAAAACAAGTTATATGTATTCCCACTAGTTATTGTCAAAGTCTTTGCAATCGGTAATTATGTTTTACTCGTTGTCACATACTTTTATTCTATTGAATTTCAAATCAATACGATTTTAAAACCCTAAAACTAGGATTTGTTTGCTAACTGATAGAAGACAGCGCGACGTCTAACCTTATTTCATCTCGTCTACAGCTCAGATAACACTTGAAGAACCATTTCACTCGATACTAGGGCAACGGTAAGCCATACTTCACGTTTGACAAGGTAAATGATAGAATATCAAACCGACCCTTCCAATGTTTGGACCAAAACAAAAACTAAGGGACGTGGGATAAAGTACTCAAGCATTAGGAGCGTTTATTTCGAAAATAATTGTTCGGATTGAAGTGGTGTGGGGTCTGCAGACGAACTGAGGCCCTTAATAACACCTTGCACCCAGCTTTGGACTCGCCGGTCGCCATCTTGCCAACCCTGAAACAAAACAGTAATATTAGACTGGCTGGTTTATAACCCTTCAGAATATTATTACCTTTGATGGCAAGTTTTATTTATTACCGAGTTATTGTCCTGTCTCCAGTGACTTACCGAACATATAGAGCAGCTGATGTGATTGGTAGTCTTAACGTTAGAACTTAGGGCCGATTAATACGCTAAATAATGCCACAGTCACAGTTTAAATATAGGCTTTCCGACAAAAATATGTGGAATATGTATTACGGATATCTACAATATAGTGAAAGGAGAGTGTTATATTAGATATGCATGTTGCTCGCCTTACTAAAATTGGTAAAAGACACTTTTACGGCCAAACGATTTCATCTGACGGTAGTGAAATAGATTAGGTTGTATACATCAAGTTTTAAACAATATTTCAGTTATTACAGTGTAATATTTTTTTACTTCTTTACAAATGTAATGTTACCATCACGAATAAATAATCTATTAAAGGTTTATTTGAGTCAACTTGAGATTTTCTTTGTTAAAAAATGATTGAGAGATTTTCCTAATACACTAAGCTACTTAGCTATAAAATACCAATTACCATGTTAGGCGCCCTTTATGGCGCTCCCTTCTTAGTAATACGTACAATTTAGGTTGATGAAAATTATGGTAAAATATAAATTATATTAATATAGACAAATTGCAAATTAATCAAAATTTATGTAGCTAACTTATAGCGCATTGAAACTATTATAAATAGTAAACGTATCAAAAACCTAACCTCTCTTCCTTCACTGGTTCAATGCAGTAATTTGGAGTTGACGAAAAATTGGGACATAAAATTACAGATTACAGCACAAAACTACGGTGGTGATAGACCTTAAAAATGTATAAACACAAATATGTGTTTATGAGGAAAACAATCTGGTATTAATGCTAGGCCTTTATCAACTACAAAATTGTGAAATCTAATTCTGATGGATATGACATAAATTTAATATAAAATCCTTAAATTTTACATGGATTATTTTGTGACGTTTAAAGCAGCAAATATGAGAGAAACGCACAACATGTAATTCATTATTAGATATACATTAATTGTATGCTCAACGTAATGAGACCGATTGCCGCCTTTCACAAACCCATGTTATGTTACCCTAGTTGTTGTGTAGGGAAGGGAAATACACGGGCACATTAGAGATTTAAAGCGTTTTAATTGTGAGTTTTAGTTACAATTACGTTATTAGCTGTCTCATATTGACGTATTTAACATTAATCCTGTAAAACAATTGAAATTAAACAAAAATGCATTAAGTGTTTCAGAGTTTTAGAGTTTGAAAATGTTGGTGTGTGTGTGTTATAAAAAAATACAATTTGATAAAATAATCAGTAGAATTCAAAATCGGTACCAGTATACTTTTTTGAACGATTATGATTAATAACAAAACATTGTAATTATGAGTATGGTTGTTATTCTCTTATGTTAGAGAAGGGAAAGTGTATATACAGGGTGAATCAGTCTACCCGTGCACATACTTTAACAAGATATACACCCGATTCGCTTGTGTAACTCACTGACTCACTGATCAGATATACAAACGTTTACCCGCTTATAGAATAGCTAGGGATAAGAAATTTTTTTGGAGTTCCATCTCAGTCCCAAACCACCCAGAAAATCCCAAAAAATCACATTTTCAAATTACAAGCCCACCCCCAAAAGGTTTCCTTAAATCTCCCTTTTTTTTAGAAAAAATACGTTTTTTTAAACGGCTATAGCTAAAAAATGGTAAGGGCTAGTAAAGATTTTAATGAATTGTCATGGTCATGAATTGAATTTTCTACAAGACTCGCAAATCGCACTCCTTCACCCTCAAAAACACCCTAATTCTAAAATTTGTAGAATGCCTTGGATTTCGACGTGTTTTTAATTTTCAAAATTACTTTTCGGAAATATATTTATATTTTTAATGATCCTAAAATTGAGAGAAAAGTGCCTAAGGCAACATTTTAAAATTGTAACCGACTAAAAAAATTTAAATGGCATATTTTGTATAAAAAGGACGTTTTTGAACGTTTGTTGGGACAAACCGTAGTGCACGGGAGGTCTTATTCACCCTTTATATTATTACATATTTTAAGTTGCTTGTTAAGTTTATCGAAAGAGTAAATAGATGTAATCGACCAGAGTCCCTGAAGTGTAGCCCCTGCTTTAATATAAAATTAATAAATAACATGTATTTAATTTTCAAACGTTTTTTAATACTAAAATTAAAAATGTGTCAAAAACAACAGAATTTATTGTACTATGCTTAGTTTATTTTTCATAAAGATAATGCTAATAAATATGTAAATCCAGGTTAATTTTTTTACTGGGTGAAGTATACAAGAAATTGATACGTGAGCGATTAAAGCAGCAAGTATAAAGTTTCAGTAACATGCGGATAAAGTGTGAGGATTGGCAATAATTAAGACATTAAATAATATAAATAACAATAACGAGATTATTGAATGTTATTGGATAATGAACGGTATGGCGTGCGGCGAGGCGGGAAACCGCTGATCGTAGTTGGTGGACGACTAGCTCTACTTAAAAAAATGAAAATATACAGATAAGTAATGGCGGTGGGTCACGAAATGAGTAGTGCCAGGTCGGGGTAAGGGGGGAGTGAGTGGGCCGGGGAATTAAAACAGCTCTCCCAATGTCCCGACATAACTGAGTGCCAAAAACTGGATTTATAGACTAATAAATTACTTTCAAGCAGAGCACATATAAATCAACGTCCAGCGTATGCGAGCGGACTCCGATACATGGATACAGTTACGAATTACATTCGTGGTATTATCAGCATCTTTCTGTCGTGGGCGGTATGACCAATCATTGTTGTCGAAATACATGTGTAGAAAGTTGTGAAATGACTTGTTCAGAATTAGGTACGAAAATTGGAAAGTAAAATGCGATATCTTAAATATACCTAATAGCCACTGTATTTCAATGTATTGATGTCCACAAATACAGGTATGTATTTAGCGTATTTGTGTGTGTGACTTTTATCGGATCGTCGTTATATACATTTCAGTATAATCTTATTAATTTTCTTCTTTGTAAATTGTGGTGTAATGTACAAAAGTAGGAATAGTAAATCCTAAGGTCTATAAAGAAAATAAACCGAATAGAACCACCCTTTTTAGACGTTTACATTGATAAAGTTTTGGATAGTTAGAAAACCTAATGTCACAGTTTATTTTAGTTTTGAATTCAAATAGCCCTCTTAGGTGTTACGTGTTACTTATCTGGTTATATAAAAATACAAATAAAAGGTCTATAGTTTTATTGTAGACACCAACAAATCTAATGTAATTTTCCATCATGAAACATAATTACTTAATGAAATCTATGAAACTCGAATTCTAGATTAAATGCTTTATTAAAAACTGGTACAACTTATTCCATACGTTTCCTTCTTTTCAATGAAATATTTGATATAAATTAGTACACATTTTGTATTATTGTTTAAAGAAATTCCGTAACAGAAAAGAACAATCCTAAAGCCCAATCGCAGCACCTAAGATAGTTTCGTTTAGGATTTAATTATGAAGGGTTCTATATATATCGGTGGCAACGATTTATGAAGAATCTTTTTAATGAAAGATTCTGTAATGTTGAGCATTAAAAAATATGTTTAGTATAAAAAGGTTCTGTTATGTCGATTATTAAAAAAATTTATCTATTTTTTACATTTCCAACTGCGCGTTTATACCAGAAGAATTGTCTAAAAAGGGCTACTACAGTCAATTTTATTCATCAGTAGTACATTTGGGTTGCGATTATCCGAATCCATAAAAAAACTCCCACAACGTTGCAATGATGTTTCTGAAACACATTAACTAGAAAAATCAGCTGTTTTTGTAACAACACAAATTGAACATGAAGGTTGTCACTATCGAGGTGGTTGTGGCAGATTGCAGCGCGTGCAACGCCACCAAAGTGCAGTCGACGTGTCCACATGTCCTTGTCAAGATCAGCAAAAACTCGACTAAATTATTGCATGTGTTTTACATTACTGATTTATCGTGCCTCTGATACCACCTGTTTCATTCTACCCACGCAACGTCACCGCGGGTTCCATGATTAAAAATTATTGCGATAACATGTCGCAGAATACATTCGTGATTCGTTTATTCTATCTCGTTCTTATTCCGGGTTAGAATAACGTAAATTGCGCCAATTGTTTGTAGAGACCTTAGATACAGCTTAGTTGATCGTATAAATCAAAGTTATATCCCATTGTTATTTATATAAAAGTAGCTTTTTAATTTAACGACATGATCGGCATGTGAATAGTTAGTCATCACTAAAAAGTCAGGAAGACAAAGCAAAACGTGCTTTTTATAACATCCCTTGACAAAAGCCTAAGCCAACAATAGTTTGGCTACAACCATATGTCGTGGCATAATATAATGCCTTTTCTGTGAATATACCTGATATTTAATATGGATTCGTAAAGAGTTATAAAAAATGTTAGTTCGAAAACTCAACTGTAAAAAACTCTGCTAAAAAATAATAAACAATGGAAAAAATTGAGTAGATACAAGAAGTTTCGTTATTTTAAAAAAAATCCCCAATGACGTCCTCATATTGTATATTACTATTTTATTTATTTTGTTTTAATTATTAAAAATCACTACTCATAACTTCTAAGAGAGGTTATGTTTTCGTTTTAACCTCTCATTGACACTGACAGTGATGCAACGAAACATTGTACCAAACCACGAATTGCATCACTCTACAATTAAATTGGCCTGAACAGCTGATTTAGTCGAAGTTCGAATCATTACAATTTTACCTCTTCTCTCCTCCTCCTTCTCTCAATCCTTGAACCTCATTGGTCCGTTACCCGTGTTGTTATGAGTAAAACTATGATGTTATGAAAGTAAACAATGCTGTTATGTGACACTTTTCAATTCTAAGAAATGAACTGAAAAGGCAACATTAAAAAAAACTGTCGTAGGTAAAATACATTAAACATAAG